TTTTACCCGACACTGTAGTTGCCACTGTGGTAATGAGTTTAATATCGATATTGCACAAAAGCATTGCAGAATCCCCTACCTAAAAAAGGAAGCAAGAATGAATTGTTCTAGTAACTTGGCTGTGGGTAGCTGTGTTTTTCAATACTTCTGAATACCAATAAAGCATGTGTGGACTGTGGTTTAAAATATATGAAACTGGCATTTCCGCTAAGAGCACTGGCACTGATGTTCCTACTGCTTGTATTCTCATGAGAAAATGGTTTGAAATTTTCCACTCCTGTTCACTGCAACACTGACGCAGGCTTTGCTTGAAATTTCAGCCTGTAGGTTGCAGAGTTCATCCCCCGCGTAGATTGTGAAAGCCTGCATCTTCTTCATGGCAACTGTTTTCAATTTTCTGCAGACTCCAAAAGACAAAGCTGAGCTGTCTTTGATCAACATTTTTGAGGTACTCCTTGTAACACGCAAGCTGGACGCGTACTTTCCGGAGAACACGTTACCAAACACTAATACATTAAAAATCTGTCCCTGCATAGTGGTTACAAACATTAGAACCCTAATAAATACAACTTGGACCTTTAGAAAAAACAGAAAAGACTGATGGGTAGTATCTGCTAGTCTACTGGCATGTCTTCTTTGAGTGCCAAACAGTTCTGTAGAAAACACATTCCACAAAATGCTCTATAATACAGGAATCAACAACACTCTGGCATGCAAGGTGACATGAAACTCGCAAGTGACTCTGCGATACAGTTTAATACTTTGTGTTGGCTGCGGCATTTAAGTACCACCCTCATCTATGACTCTTTGCGCCTTGAATTCCCCCATCTGGGGCTGCCTCTCTGGAGGACAAGTGACCAGCAGAGTCACATACTCAGTTTCTGCTTCTCACCGTCCTTTGCATGCAAAGGGCCACTATTCTTTTTTTTTGAGAGGAAAAAGATCATCCCAGCAATTGGAGGCAGCTGAACCTTGCCTTCAAATGGAGCAACTGGGTTCAAGCAACAGCAAGGCAGTAAATCAGATTGCTTATTCAGATGAAACACAAAGTGAGGGTGTCCCACAGTGAAAAGAGAGGAAGCAAGGGAGCAGGAAGTGGTTACTTCAGAGGTGCATCCTTTTTAACCTTGCAATAAGGAAGATTAATTCTCTAAACAGAGTGTTTCTTACCTACATAGACGTTCCAGAATTCCTCCTACAGGTAGGTGTGGCGAAAAAAGGATATAAAAGGAGACAAAAAGAGTTAGATGAGAATTACCGAATTCTTCAGAAAAATATCAGTGCTTTCATACAGAGGATATTTGCAGCTAACAATTAAAACAAATACTTAAGTTACAGGCACATACAATGCTTTGCAGCCTACTACCATTTAATAAATTAAATACATATGATCCATCTATAGTGCCCAGCTCTACAGAAACAAGTCTCATGCATTTTTCAGACATTTCTAAAACTTCTTAGAGATTTCCTAATGTGCCTCACTCAGCATAGGGCACTTGATTGCTTGCATAACTGTATCTTTCCATCAGTTTTGACTGAATTTACTCACATGCAATTCTCAGTCTCCCTCCCCCTCTCCATACCCCCATGAATCAGGACCTCAGAAATCCCGAGATTTAAAAATATGTTGTCCGATTTGCGTTCTTCTTTTCCTCTGCACCGAAGACTCCAGCTATGCTGTCTGTCCAAGACAGTCCTTTTCAGTGACGTCTGGTCACCGAGCAGAACAGGCTGTGCTGGTTCTGCTACACATCAGCCAACCTTTATGCTCTGAAGCACCCTGGCGATGCACCCATGACTCCCCACTGAGGTCATCTCAGGGCCACTCCAAGAGCATTCTGGCCAGCCAGTAATGCTAAAGTGAAATGAATCTGGCCTTAACTCCAGTTTCAGGGCTATTCTTAACAGCCACACAGCTACAGCCCATGTTCCCAATTCTACTCCACTACCAAGTCACTTCAAGTTTTCAAGTATCATCTTTTCTACTCACCCCAGTCCCCATAGTTGCCCCATCTCTTTAACTCTCCCTTGAGCTTGGGAATAGATCACATTTCTGCCTAAAGTTAGGCACCCATCAGGGTAGGGAAGGTTACACAAGAGTCACACATACAAACTTCATACCATGTGGGCAATTTAGCATTAAGGTGTAAAAGCACTGTCCACAGTATACATTCTATCCATTTAGATACTGAAAAAAGAGAGTCACAAAACGATAAGCACTGCAAAGCTGCTTGATATAAGTTCAGCAAAATTCTCCCATAAAGTTCATGTCAGCATTTGCCTTCTCAACCTTCCTGTAGACTCTCCACCTAAGAACCCTTGACAATAGTCATGACACTCATCTATGCCACTCCAACAAGGTGAACATATTTCTAACATGGGTAGTATTAAATCATTCAAAGGTCAAATACCTCACAATGACAATTGAACGGATCAGAACAGGTAAAAGAACAGAGGCTTTAACAGGGGCTGGCCTTGCAAGAGCTAAATTAAGTTATTGTATGTTTATGGCTTAGCAATTCCAACCACAGTCAAACCCACTATTTACTCGTTAAGTGATTGGGAGTAACTTGTGAGTTTTGACACCCAGCTCAAAGACCTTGATACTATTTTGTAAACATTATATATATATAGACTATTCATATTAGTCCATCTTTACAGTTTTCTCCTGGTCTTCAAAGGCTTCTCTTGCTTCTTCTTTTGAGCAGCGTTCCTCATTGCATTCTCTTTCAATACTCCCTTTCTTCACTTCCTCAAAAAAAGAGTTAGCACGTTTTGTTCTTTCCAAGAACTGGTCGGCATTTTCTTTCTTGATGAATACTAGACAATAAAGAAAATGATACAGGTGGCAGGTAACATTTGGTAAGGAGTCATTAGAAATAAGTGAAGTAGAAACAAAACCAAAACAAACCCTTCCACCACTCTCCCAGTACACGACCCATGAGGTTAGTCCTCACACAGACTGATAGATCTCAGGATCTCTCAGAGCACTCTCTCTCTGAGGATTAGCAACTCCTGCTAATTCTGTGCAGCCCTGAGGTCTTCCTTCCCTCTTAACACTTCCCAATTGCCTGTAGAAATGTTCCTGCCTTATTGCTATGTGTGCAGGTAGAGCTAAGGCAGGTGCGTTTGAAGATTTAACGAAGAACAGAAGTAAATGAACATCAGCCTTAGCAGGAAAGTACAGCCTGAGTTCAGTTTGCTGGGTTGTTTTATTTTTTAAAAGCTTGGCGTCACAGAAGTGTGAGACCTGCTGCCTTTGAATTCAAGATGCAGGTAGCTGTTGGTTTAAAGTGAACGATCAGAGGCATTAAACTCAGCTCAGCCACATGGCGCGTGAACAGCAGCGCTACTCTCCAGTGACTTGTGCACACATCACCAGACAGGAAAACCAGAAACAACACTGGAGTAAATAAATTGCCAATTACCCTGTAAAAAGCATACATTCCAGGAAAGACTGCAGAGTTTGGAAGCTGACATTTATTTATGTTCTAAACACCTGGAATTTAAAGAGAAAAAATACTTTTCAATCACAGACTGGAGTGTGGAAGACAGTGCAGCAGATGGGATGTCAAGGCCAGTGGTTCATGCTCAGTGGGCAGCTTGCACGTACCTTCATGCAACTCAATTCAGCAATAAACAAATCTGGTGATAGTAATCATATACCCTAATATCCTCTAAGCGAACACAGAGGGGACTTATTCTGCTTTCACTGAAATTGGTGGATCAGCCACAGGGAGCCAAATTCTGCTAGTGCTATTTATATTAAGCAATCCCACAGAGCCCACACAGAATTTGAAGTCCTGCTTATTATGAAAAGGCTCCTCACAAGGAAGGCTTACAGAAAGTGCTTGTAACTTAAAGCTCAGCAACTGTTAGTTCTTCCACCCACTATCTTATTTGCCCTTAAATCCCTCTCTGCAGTGACAGGAAAGTGACAGGATGCAGCCAGTGGGGTTATCGCCTCTATATTCCTCTGCCTCCATAGCACCCGCGTAAGCGGATGTTTTTGTAAACTTGAACTAGCCGATTAGTGTTCTGAGGCTGGTCATTTTCTTTCCCAAGCTTTCTGTCATGCTTCCTTCTTTGGAGACATCAAGGAGCAACAGGCGTTGGTCAACAGAAGTAGGATGTTCCAGAAACGTGCGGAAGACCTCATCTGAAAGCCTAAGCAGGCTGACTCACTGAAGGAAGAGTTAACGACTTTTGAAAAGTCACTTGCTGATGCTGCTCTGGACTTTGGTGTTGACCCTAGCAGCACAAACAGAGGGTGGCAGGATGTGCTTTTCCCCAGCCTCTCCACGGCCAAGTGTACCCAACCAAACCCCGGCCAGGCTTCCCCTCAAGGACATGACCACCTCAGGCTGCGAGGCCTGTTGTCCTCCCAGTGCAAACAACGAGAAGGGCCAGCAATCCTGTTTTACAGGGGGGAATCGGGAAGGCACAGCAGCCTGGGAAAGGCCACATGGGACCGCAGCGGGACACGGCACCCCTGGGGCTCAAGCACCCCGAGGTGTCCCCTGGCACCTCCCTGTCCCCGATGTGCAGCTCGCCCGTCTCTCGGCGGCGTGCGGGGGTCGGCACAGGTGCAGACAAGCCCTGTGCCGGCTTGGGAACGGAGCCCCCCGGGGAAGACGATCCCTAAGGTGCCCGCTG